TGGCATTTCTTCCCCATACGTCACAGTTTTTACTATTCTTTGACTAAATCAAATCAATCACACTATTAAAAAGATAATGTGAAAGAAAAAATTAAAATCAGTAAGAATACTTAGTTATAAAAATTGTAATCTATTGTTGCAAGTAAATATGTGTGCATTAGTTGTATTTATATAAAACAAGTGGAACCCGGCAGAACCTTTCATCACCCTTTCTTCTTCCCCCTCACTGTCTCTCGTCTGCCCTGCACACGGCAACGCTCTCATCGTCTCACACGGCAACGCTCAGCAACATTGAAGCACATGTGGATCGCAGTTTGAATGGCAATTGAATTAAAATGAAGCACATTTTTTCTGCAGCGCCATCTAGTGGAGTTACAACAAAATTAACAGCACGATAAATCTCTGGGGGAAAGAAACACGTAATGTGCCAACTTTCACGAAGATCGGACACACGAGTCAGAGTTAACCAGTGTTATATATACCAACGCCTATATAAACACGATAAGTCACGTAACGTTAGCACCTTAAAGTACATTTTAAACGATTTAAGTAATTGCAATGCGAATTTCAGGGAAGCATATAAAAAGTGATTTATATATGTATTAATTTTCATTTTATCACTTGTGTTTTACAAGATACTGAGGTAACTTTGCTTTTTTCAAGAACTATACATTTTTAGCCTAGCACAACGAACGTAAAAAGACGAATCCAATGATATCCAATAAATATATATGTTAAATAAGCATTTTTTTTAGTAATATACCTTTTTTGATTCTCGTTTTTCAATGTAACAGACCACCACCCAAGGAAACGAGCGCTCTCCCTGCTAGCTCGAGCTTGAAGCGTTACAAAATCCGTTATCCAATACATTGTGTTTAGGTCCAATCTGTTTACATTCTCTCGGTAGCACATCCTGAATACACACTCTGTACTATCATCTAAGTATTTCGGAGGTTGACAATGTACAATTACAGAAAAACTAGTCAATTTACAAACAATGTTTGAAGATAAGATATTTTGGAATACAAATTTATATTATGGTTAAATTGGTAAACAGGGTTTTCATAACCATACAGTTGGAAAACATGACGACAAACTATATATTTCAAATTTCTATATATTTATAGAAATATAAATTATAAATACATTTTATGCACAAATATATGTATGTTTTATTATGTATTGTATATATAAAATGATCTTTATAAAATGTATACATGTTTTTTAGGACAAAACATTATACTAAATGTAATGGTAAATCATGTTAACCAGTTGCACGTGTTTACTTATTGTATATTTAGAGCCCTGAAACAGTGCAAATAAATGGACGAAACGCTGGCACCGTAAAAAGCAGACTTTTATTGACCTGCCCTCCCCGTTTTCCAGTTCCAATATAGTTATTTTCCTTATTTGAGCATTATATTTATTTAATGTATTTTTCTGTTTAACTTCTATAAATTGAATTCATAAAAATGTATTTGTTGTATCAGTGGAAAATACAAAAGGCCAGCCCAAGCATACAGAATCCGAAAGGTCCGCAAAGATATTAAAGTATACCATTACGTGTTTTATTTCACGTCCATAAACAGTAATGAATTAATAAACCATAAAAAAACAAAAAAAAATTGGTGGCTACAAAATGGCACAGACTTTCCCGTATTAGTTTTCTATTTCCTTTGGTCATGGTTAGCTATAAGAACTTTGCACATATTTTTGCCTGCAGACACCTATCGACACCAAAAGTACATTTTTTGTCATTTTCATAATTTTTCAGTTTCATAATTGCAGAGCGGAAATATTATTTTAAGATTATTAAAGAACAGTAAAAGTTCGTTATAAATAGCAATTTTATTTGAAAAATTTGGAGTCTTTTTAAAAAATGGTGTTTAAGCGCTACTGTAAATTTGAAATTTAAAGCTCTTTTTCACAGAAAATGTTTGTTTCCGAAAAACTGAATTTGAAACTTAATTTTAAGTGTTTAAACACAAATAATTAAGTTTAAACACAAGTACATTACTGTTTACAAATTGCTGGAAATGTGCATATAAACAGCGTTAGAGATATTTAAAAAAAAAAAACATTTGTGGAGTTTTTGAAAAAACAACAAAAATGCACCGAAATTAACTTAACGTCATATTAAAGAGTGCAATTACCACTATTCGTTCAAAATGCTTGGAGAAAAATTTGGAGATGTTTTTGAGAAAATGGCGTTTGAGCGTTTTTTTCAAAATGCGGAGATTTGAGCTAGTATTCACAGAAAACTGTACTTTTCGCGACACTTAACACGACACATTTTAAAGCACATATACTCATAAGCGATAATGTGAACAAATTGCCAATAATATCAATATTAACGACATGAGAAAAAAGTCAAAAAAATTAAATGTTTGCAATATTTGAAAAACAAAAGAACAGAGCAATATGGCGTTTGTCATCTTATAGAGTGCATTTAGCACTATCCCTACCAAAAGTTTAAAGACATAATTTGGAGCTGTTCTTGAGAAAACAGTTTTTGTAATTTATTTTAAATTGCTCATATTGCGCGAAAACGAATAAATTTTCAAAAAAATGTACATGATCTTATTGAAAGAACTCACTATGGAAAAAAAAATGTATTTGAAAGAAAAATCTCTTCAATTTTGTAGTTGTAGAAAGACACCGAAAAAATTCATACTTTTGAAATTTTTGAAAAAAAAGAGTTAACCGTGAAACTTGGACATGTGCCACGTTTATAAGTGCATGTTACTTTATTCATACAAGAAATTTTAAGAAAAAAATTGGACCCGTTTCTGAAAGAAATTTAAATGAAGCCCTCCGGACATTTTCAAAGTACCTCCAAATTTTGAAGTGTTTTTTCTCCAAACTCTCAAAGATTTGTCTCGAGCCAGATTGACTGGACTTGCTTCATAGTTCAGGCGTTAATAGTGTTCACAGTCGCCAGACGGACGGACAGACGGATGTTTTGATGAGACAGTTTTTCGGTATCAGGGGACCTCAAAACGTGTATTTCCGTTGAAATCTCGAAATCGATTTTCCGCAGCATTACATAACTTTCCCGATACTACAAATATTACTCCATACGTACGTATACGGGAATGTTAAAAGCAAGTAGGAACAATAGACTATAAAAAGAAAAAAAAACGTTTTGTACAAATGATAAAACAAAGGGGGAAAATAGCACTTAACATCGCAGCTCATTTGCACTCGTGTTAAGTTATAACATTCCATATTACGTCAAAGGCTTGGGGCACGAATGTGTGTCCACCCAAGGTTATTTTTGAGTTAGTAATTCTGGAGACCTCTCGTTCGTATCTATGTAGCGTACATATAGAGTCCAAATAAGAGCGATCATGCTTTTTCCAGGGAAGCACACATTGTTGGTTCGTAAGTAACAGTAAGCTTAAACTTTCAAGCTTGCTTTTCTTGAAAACAGCAATTCTGAACATAGGTACAATATGTGCGTCCTAAGCCTTCGGATACAATCATATGAAATGTTATTAAAATATGAATGCAGTATATATTATGTATATACTTCAGTCCTAGTCCCCGCAGAAAAAAACATTAAGAACATTAAGAATAGAAATCTATCACGTAATGACATCATTTTGCCGACTGTTTTGCTTTACGGCGATATTGATATTTTGCAAGATGATAGTGGGAGTTTTAGAACGTTAAATGAAATCTTGAGCACGCACTCTAAACAATATGCCACGAAAACATTAGACAGGGACGGTCAAAATACAAAACCACAAAACAAATTCTGGACAAGTCATTGAAACCAACAATTTAATTTAACATACAGCTAACAATTTATTTGGATACAGTGATTAGAAACGTTACTGCAGAGAAAAAATAAGCAAACATTGAGTATAACAGATTCGATTTTCATCCACTACCAACATAAAACCATTGCTTCCGTGGTAATCTTGAAACGTAGTTCTCTTTTGGCTGACGAGACGTCCGAAGAACCCTCACTTTCCCTGAAGATTCGCTAGACTAGCAAAATTACGACTACCTACAAGGCTATTTTGGAGGATGGTCAGCGACATGGAGTTCTCGACTCTCTTCCAGCACCACCCAAAGACCCGACTTCCACGTTCTTTTCGACAAACGTTTCAATATATAAAAAGCACACATACGGAAAGCGGCTTTGGGAATTGCCGAAGCGACAACACGCACGTCCGCGTGATTTAAAACTCTGGAATCGTTCGTAAAAACATTCCAGATATACGTGGCTTATGCTACAAACGATTCGTTGTAATACAGAACGTTCACAAAATCGTCGATCCATAATGTCCGTGACGAAGTGATTTCACGTGTGAAGCTATTTCAAAAACATGGCGTTCAGCGATGTGGATCAGCGTATGCGTAACTTCTGCAGAAACCATTACTCCACCAGCCAGACAGAGCATTCGTGCGAGAGTTAACGGCTATGGGTTCTCAAGTGCGTAACTAAATGACTTCTCTGCGAGTAGCTCTTTTGGCAAACGGCACATACATGAGGGCGTTCTCCAGTGTGAATGCGAAAGTGTGTGGCCAAGTAACTCGCAGAAGAGAACCTCTTCTTGCAAACTGAGCATTCATAAGGGCGTTCACCGCTGTGGATCCGCATGTGCGTAACTAAATTGCCTCTCTGCGTGAAGCTCTTTTGACAGACTGAACATTCATGAGGGCGCTCACCGCTGTGAACTTTCATGTGCCTCCTCAGATGACTGCTGTCAACGAAGTTATTTTTGCAGACAGAACATTCGTAAGGGCGTTCACCGCTGTGGATCCGCATGTGTTTAACCAAGGTCCCTTTTTCTGGGAAGGTCTTTTGGCACACGGAACATTGATGAGGGCGTTCACCGCTGTGGATCCGCATGTGAGTAATTAAATTATCTCTCCGCGTAAAACTCTTTTGACACACGGTGCATACATGCGGGCGTTCACAACTGTGGGTTCGCACCTGCGTATCTGAACCAGATGCGTCTGTGATTCCCTCTTTGCAAACAGAGCACTCTTGGGGTCGTTCACTATGGATCCCCATATGCCTAATTAAATTAACTTTCTGTGCAAATCTTTTCTGGCAGACGGAACATTCATGGGGGCGTTCACCACTGTGAATTCGCATGTGTCTCATTAAATGTTTCCTAACAGAGAATGCCTTTTGGCAGACTGCGCACTGATGACGGCGTGCTGTGTCACATTCTCCACCTGTTGGCAGAAATACTTTATTAGCAGAGCAAGAAAGTTATTATGGGCAAATCAATAATGTTAGTTAAGAGAATCTTTGAACAAATAAAATCTAATGTCACAATAAGATGGCGATTTAAATTAATCACGCAAATTGTACTTTCTCGCATTAGTCAGGTACTGTTCTGTAATTTGTCCATATTAACTCATCTCAGACATCCCTTAGAAAACTCAATACCAATCGTATAACATGTGTCCCATGCCGAAAGCTAGAACACGTGCGATTTACCTTTGACGTACGTTGTAGCTTGTGCTGTGGGCCTGTGGCTCTGCACACGTGATTATATCAGCGTTAAATGGACGTTCGATCTTCGAAAATCTTAATTCTCAAGTAGAAGATATTATTTTACTTAAACTGGGTTTTCGAGCTTTTTGTTTTTGAATAATTAATGTTGCCTTAACGTCGTTTACAATTTAAACAAGTCATATTTCAAAAGCCATCGGGCGAAATAATAAATAAAATATCAATAAATTAAAATATGCATACAAACGTGATTCTTTTTTAAATGTATGAATGTAATGCAATACAGAGAATTATATTGCACCTGTTGGTTAGAAGAACATGTTCAGTTGTCTGTATGTTAGCCCTGAAGCAGGTAATACAATAACCACTGAAAAGTTGCCTTAAAAACGTATGTAAAAATTATTTTTGATGTGGAAATCGCAATAAAGACGTTATTTATCCTATTATTCTAATAAAGTATTTCTTCTATTATATGCCACTGTCTGTAAGATACATAATTCCATTAAATTTCAACAATTCATGTGCACACCCATAACATTCCTATTCTAAGAGAAATTAATTTTCACAGACTTGAGTTAAAGCCTTCTTGAACGATGACATTATCGATCTTTCAGTATTCATTCATACACTCGCGAAAATTAATTGACAAATCACGTTAAACTTGTTGTTTTATATACTTTTTCATAATGAACAGTTCACGCGGTTTTGCGTCAGCAATGTGTAGCGTACTACTTCCTACATTTTCAAATACTTCTCACGGACGGCAAAGCGTACAACAGTCTTCCAGCCAAGACACCAAAAGTCGATCTATCCTTTCAATTCCACGAACCCTTCCCAGTGTTCCTACTTGCCCAACATGGGTCAATTTTCCACTTTTTCATAATAGGTTACTACTCTTCACACCTTCTTTAAAAACGGTTCTTTTTAGTTTTACAGCGCCCTATCACAAATCTTCGTACCTAACTGACATTTAAACTAAATACAGACCGGTACGGGGTGTTCTTGATTATTAAAAAATGGTTTTCGACAATTGACTGTTTCCCGAAAATTAAACTCCTTCCACAATTGAAGGGCAAAATAAAATTTTATTATTTCTAGACTTAACCGTACACAAATCTTGCTGAAATGTCGTAATTTAACTTCGTCCAGGAGCACAAATCACTATATTCGGATGTGATGTTGAATAACTGTAATGAGATGCAGAGTAATTCCCTCACTACGCACGCTAACGGGACATGTTCTAATATTCTGTGTTACAATTAAATTAATGACAATACTTTTGAAAGTCCATAACACAATGTTATTGGCAATTAAAATCAATTAATTATATTTTATTATTTAAACTCACCAACAGAGCATGCGCCTCTGACAGAGTTTTCATTGCACATTGCCAACGGGTCCTGTGAAAGAAGAAACAATCTGTTAATGAAACAATAATAAAGAAATCCATAACGCACAGTGTAAAAAAACAACATTTCATAAATGCAGACGGTTGAGTAATTCAATTCCGCGAACCGATATGAAATTGTCAAAGGGTAAAGAGATCCGTATTACACAAGAAAATTATTACGAAAGTAGAATTCCGGTAAAACCTGTCCACGACAGAACCTCTATAAAACGGAAACCAGCCATCGCGTAAGAAATGTTTTTTCAACGGAACGATTCTATGTGAAAATGACTTCTACAAGACGAAAACCGGTCTAACGCGGAAATGGAGAAGTTTTTAGAAAACGTAAAGTGATTATCTCGCTATGGAGGAAATTTATTTTTAAATTTCCGGCTCTCTTAGGAATGGCATAGTGCGAAGGGTCACGTCTCGAGAAGAGAGAGAACGAGTTTTTCCTCATATACCCCCAGTCAGAGACCGTGGAACTTTCGTTGCCACTTTCTCCCGCAGCAGTGTGATTTTCAACGTCCCAACAAACGCGACTTCACCCTTATCGCTCCCGATCCATAATTGTTTGTCATTCGCCCCCCCCCCCATCTCTTCTCAAAAGCGTCACCTTTCCTTAAGTCGATAATGGAATTCCGAGAAAGCGTCTTGTTATCGTTGCGTAGCAGACGTAGAGTTGCCAGGTGCGAGTTCACACAATTTAGTGAACGCTCGCAGGAAAGCTGTGTGCTAGAGTGCCAAAATGTGTATATAACGTACGTGCAAAACACTTCCGTTACAGAAGAAATTTCGGAATAAATTGTTATCCTATATTCCCTCCGTTTGTCGCTGTTGATTTTTCATTTCCTGCCATATTTTCATTAAGAAATTATGCGTTATTTTATTTCCTTCACACAATTATACCGAAAATACCTTACTTAAATTATATGGTGAACGTTTGGCAACCGTCGACAAGACTGAAACCAGCTAAAACAGCTAATTTTGTGAAGGACCCGTCAGGTTTTGAGTAATTTTGATTTTTTTCCTCGACATCACATTGAGTTATTTACTATATATTTATATACTACTTACATAAAAAAATTGTGAATTTTAATTGTGGTGGTAGTGGTGACGTAATTTTTATTGAAAATAAATGATTGTTTTAAAAAAAGAATAGGACAAAAGTTATTGTAAACAAAATATAATAAAGTCAAAAAATATAAACAAATCTACAAAAATATTTCATAATTATATATTTCTATCCATTTTCACTTTCTTGCTAGTGGTATCAACAATGCTAACTGGCAAAAAGTGCATCCCAAACGAAATAATGGAGTATTGTTGAAACCCATTGTTGTAACGCCGCACTGATAACGGAAGGCGATAATGACAGCTAGTAATTTTATTTACTGCTGAAATATGGATCGTGCATTGTCGGTACATTTATTTAGAACGTGAATAATTTAATTCAATGGCTGCTTTTGTTTAAGCATTTGAATTTAAAATATATATATATATATATATATA